GACATCAAAACAAACCAATGTATTATTTATTATGGCAAGTTTCACAAGGTAAATCTATGGCTTTCTTCTAAATACTGTTTTTCCTTGTTTATTGAGACAACATATATTATATATGAAAAATGTTATGTATATTTCTAATGTTATAGATTTCTACATCTAACATATTCATATTTACTTACAGTGCATAACAAAACCATAATAACATTATATGAATCACTTGTGTATATCATTTATTGTCTGAAAAAAATAATGTTTTCAAGGATCAATAGAGTGTTTAGAATGCAGGTTTGCATTCTTAATGATTTAATGCCCTTCTCCCTTGTTACTTACGTGTTCTTCTGTTCTTCCCATATGTGCAATAAAAGTAATGAAAAATAATAATAATAATAATAATAATAATTGTATCTATTTCTGAGACTCCCACTGTACTGCTTACTTCTCATGTCCACCTCCATCATTGGTCCAATCCAATACTCGTAGTGTAGCTTTGGTGACTTGCTGTGCATGCACAACAAGCGTTGTGCACACATCCAAATATCCTCGTAGGAATGCATTGTATCAATGCTTTCGTATGGGGGCTTCCTCCCCATTTGATTGACTGTTACTCGGTCATGGTCGTGGAAGCGCATCTTGTCTGAAAAATTTAAAAAAAAAAAAAAAATTGCAATAGATTACATTGCAGGGTTAAAAGGACAGGACCTCTGCACACAGGCTACTTCACTGAGATGACAGGGCCTGGATAAATTTAGTGGTCCTTTGAGTAGAGCAGTCCATCATATAGTACTCCTATATGATAATCTCACTTGGTCTTGGAAGATTAGATTTATTGATTAGCATTTGTAGCATAGAATTAGTGTAGGTTGTTTGCTAGAAGATTCTCAGCGTTATCCTTTAACCGAGTCTATTTAAGTCTCCGCAGAGGGCTCTTACCTGGTTAACAACAAATGGCATGTTTAGATGTAGAAACAGACTGTATTTTTCTTGGTCATAAAGTGTTAGGGTAAGAGTTATTACAATGAGTACATCTGCTCAAGTTGTCTATATTCCATACAATATGTAAGACACAAATTTTGCACCCTGAAATCCCATTTTAGGAAACATATTGAAGATATATGTATTGAATATAAAGTAGCGTTGGTTGCCAAACATTTTGTGAATCACAACAATAGTGACCTGATTGTGATAATATTATTATTTCAGGGAATCCAGTCTAGAGTACCAGGAAGTTAAGTTGATCCTTTTTTTACACTATAAAGCCCTTTGGGATAAATTCAGTATTTAATATACATTTTTGTACCTTGGTAGTTATATTTTTATTTTATTTGTCATACTTTTTTTCATATTTTTATTTTTTCATTTTTTTTAATTTCTTCATGATTTGATCCTATATTATTAAGCCATTTTCAAACAATATGTTTGTAATGAATAATTGTGTACACATTAGTGTATAATATGTAAAATATATGTTGATTTTGTCTATTTTTGGATATAAATGAAAGTTTTCAGTGAATGTATTCTTTTTATTTGATTTCATTTGTTAGCCATATGCACGAATGTATTTATTTAAAAGGGCACTCCAATCATACTCCTGCACCAACATAATGTAAGTACATTTAATATAAATTGGTCTCATATCCATGCTGTGGTTTTTTCATATTAAAAACTTATTTGTTATGTTAAAAAAATTACAAATGTTTTAGCTTTCTGTAGCATAACCCTGAACTCTTAGCCAGGTTTCGTCTTTCACAATACATTTTTATTAGATGTACTCTAAGTACATAAGCAGCCAATAAGTAATCAGGGTGAGCTGAGCTGCTGACATCATTCTGTCCCATAGCCAATCACTGTGAAACAGAAAAAAGGAACCGCACTAAAATCCACTAAAAACTGGGTGAACCGAACCAGGACCAGCAAATTCAAAACATGTATGACAGAGACCAGGAAAGATCTTCAGGCACTCATGGAAATTAAAGCCACAGGCAGGATTATTGGATCAAAAAGGCAAAGTAACGTTTCAACCTACTAAGAGGTCTTTATCAAGCTTTATAAAGACCTTTTAGTAGGTCGAAATGTGGCTTTGCCTTTTTGATTACAGTCCACAGTGTGACTACTTACCTGGGTCTGCAAGGCGCTGCTCCTTGCTTCCACTACTGCTCAGTGAGAAATGTAAGTTCCTGCTCTGGGCTAGTGCATTGGCGAAGAACGTCAGCCAGGCTTAGCTCGGCAAAGATTTATCTCGAGATCAATACGTGGCAGATGACAGATGAAAAATCAAACTGTTCTAAAACAGTTTGACTCCTTACAATGGGGGACAACGGAGGACAGCGAAAGGGGGATACAAGGGCACTCGTAGCATTATGACCACGGCCAGCCGCAGGTGACTGGCAAGGCATGGGAGAAAAGGTGTGTTAAATCACTTTTTTACGGAGAATGGAGAGGGGCCCGACACCTAAACAGCCATTTCAAGACTGCAGTGTCAGGAATGAATCTTTAATTACATTATATAAAAATTTGAAAAGATGAACATTATTATTGATCATGGTTAGGCAGGATATTTATAGGGTATTTGATATAGTTTTACAGCAAAGGTTCTTGGTTTAGATTAGCATTATTCTTCTTTAATAAGACTAGCTTAATGAGTGCAGACAGTAATTAAAAATGTTAGAAAAGTTGTTCAAAGTGATAAGGAGAGAACTTTGAAGTGGAGAACTTCTCTATAATCTGTTTATGGATGATTTTGAAATGGGCATTGAAAATTATGAGTCAGTGTTTGCTGATAACACAAAACGAAATAAGGCAATACAGACTGAACAGGATATCACTTCTTTACAAAGGTATTTGGATAAATTGAACCGGCAGGAAAATGGCAGATGAGATTCAATAAAGATTCATAAATGCAAAGTAATTTTGAGATAAGGAACCCACAAACAAACAATTTATACATTAGAGGAGCCTAAGTAAGGGATAATGTTAAAGGTATTTCACAAGGCCATAAAGTACTTAAATGGATATTGTATGCATTGACCATTTTATTTAATGGCATTGGATATAGTGTAACACTAAATAAAGGATCCTGGCTTGCCACAGCCCAGCTCTTACTTTAGCTATGGCTATGGAAGATATTACAAACTTCCTTCTAGTCATGCAAAATCATACCAGCAATGGGTGCTGTGATATGATGAAAGTGTTCAGCTGACATTCTTAGCCAGTCATAGCTTCCAATTGCTGCACAGGCTGATGGTTCCTCATTAGCCGAAGCAGTATAGATGAGATGGGCTCCTGGTCCCCTTAGCATTAACACATTAACAATTTAATGATGAATAGAAGGATGGAGCCAGTGGACTTTAAGCACAATGAATACTTTAATCAAATAAAGTAATTACAGTGTCTCTTTAAGATTTAGGGGTTAATAGTCTGGCCCCTTCTTGTCACTTTATAAAACTACCGAATTCAAGGTGAATTGACACTTTTATAAGCTGGTACCCTAATGTAATGGAGCTCCCTGTACTCCTGGCTGGGTACCTCCCCCAAGGACCGAAGCCTAACTGGAACAGGGGACAAACCGCAGCACTTCTGCCCACAGTCGCCGTGGCTTGACTGGGGTCCTGGTACCGCTCCCTCCTGTAGCTGGATGGGGAACTTGCTCTAGCAACCCCCAGGCACTGGATGACACTCAGTCCTGGGAGCTCTAGTCCTTACAAGGGAGCTGTGTGCTGTCTGCTCTCTGCTCCCTCTCGCCGCGCGCTGATGCCGGGAGCCGGAATATGACGTCATATTCCGGCTCCCAGCTACAGCAGACAGCCCGCACGGCGAGAGGGAGCAGAGAGCAGACAGCACACAGCTCCCTCGCCGCGGCTGAGCTGCCGAGAGAGGCGCCCGTCCCACTGGACCCCAGGGACAAGTCCACGCCAGCACTCCAGGTAGGAGGCTGGGTGGACATTGTTTTTTATTAAAATATAATAATTTGTTCTTGTGTGTGTGAGTGTGTGTGTGTCTGTGAGTGTGTGTTTGTGTGTCTGTGTGTGAGTGTGTGTCTGTGTGTGAGTGTGTGTCTCTGTGTGAGTGTGTGTCTGTGTGTGTGTCTGTGAGTGTGTGTGTGTCTGAGTGTGTGTGTGTGTGTCTGAGTGTGTGTGTGTTTGTGTGTCTGTGTATGAGTGTGTGTCTGTGAGTGTGTGTCTGTGTGTGTGTCTGTGAATGTGTGTGAGTGTGTCTGTGTGTGTGTGTCTGTGAGTGTGTGTGTGTGTGTCTGTGAATGTGTGTGTGAGTGTGTCTGTGTGTGTCTGTGAGTGTATGTGTGTGTGTGTCTGTGAGTGTGTGTGTGTACGCATATATATATAAATATATATATATATATACACACACACACACACACACACACAGAGCCGGCGCTATCTGAGTGCCGGCTCTGCTCTAAGCCTCCATGGGCCGGCGGGGAGACCAAAGATCTACCTCACCGGCCCACAGCAGCATGGAGGGAGGCAGGAGAGGACCCAGGGAGCTCTAGACAGAAGCTCCGCCAGGTTCCTCTCGCGATATCTGAGCGTTGCTGCGGCAACGCTCAGATCTCGCGAGAGTTAACTATAGCCCCGCAGGCTAGAGTTCACACTCCACTGGACCACCAGGGATGGCACATGGCAGCAAGGATTTACTAATCTGCCAAATCCCTCCAAACATACAGCACACACACATACAGCACCTACACACATACAGCTCACACACACACAGTACACTAACCGCACCCTCACAAACACACACAGCACCTTTAAAAAAAAACACAACACCCTCACACACAGCACACTAACAGCACCCTCACAAACACACACACAAACAGCTGCCCCACAAATACACGACACTCACACAAACAGCACCCTCACAGGACAAACATACACACACAAACACCCTCACACACAAACACACACACACACACAAATACCCTCACATCACACTAACAGCACCCTCACACACACATCACACTAACAGCACACACAGCAGTGTATGTGTTTGTGTGTGTGTGTGTATGTATCTATATATATATATATATATATATATAGATACATACACACACACACACACACACAGCGGGTGTTTGTGCTTTAGGGTGCACACCCTAATGCAATAGGCTGCGCACGCCTATGAGTCCCTTACAAAAGGTTTCTTAATGCAGGAAAGTTATCAATCCCATGTGTAATCCAGCAACTGTTAGTACCGTTTACTTATGACTTTTTAAAGTAGAGGATATCTATAGCATGGAGTAATTTATGTCTTCTCTTTACAACAGAACTGAAAATGTATCTAGAATTAGCAACCATAGCTAGTCTACCTGTCCATCTGCCCCCCTTTACTCCACAGTCAACTCTGGGATTTACGTATCCCTATAGTCACTGTATTTACTTTCAAAGTCTGAATAGCTGTGCTATTTATCAAGCTCAGCTTAAATTAGTAATCAATTTACAGAGGTACCTGCTGGCTCTCACTGTGTATCCTTATGTTTCTTTTTTTATCTATACTCTACATATTTTACAATAAATGATGAATATGTAAAAAAGGAAATCCTAATTTTCTAATGTACACGTTTTCCCTTTGATGTTAATATATTGTCTAAAGTCATTCTGTTTTGCAAAGCTACTAATTTAATCTGTTTAGTATTACGCAATCTTATTGCTTCTCATGTTTTTTTAAAGCACTTCATCTAATAATTGTACCGACTCATTATGATTATTAGCTAATGGCACAAACCTATACAAATTAAGAAAATAAAGTCTCCCAACATTTCTAAATTGGTTATCAATACCCTTATAGGCTGCTAACATGTTATTTGAAATGCAGCATTTATTTCTTCAGTGACAGGAGCATAATTCTTTATCTCTTAATGTGGGAACAATTAAACCTAAATAACATGTTCCATACCAATTGCAAAGTAATATAAATTATACCTAGTTTTCTACAAATCCAAAATAGTCCACTGGGTAAAGTAATGTACTCTCCACAAAGTGAGTGCAACACAAGAAAAACATTTGGAACAATTTAAAGGGACACTATAGTCACATGAACAACTTCAGCTTAATGAGGTTGTTCAGGTGAGAACTATAATAAAATACAGTGTTTACATTGAAAGCTAGGAACACCTCCAGTTGCAGTCACTCAGAGTGAACCAGAGGGTCTTTGGAGTTGGAATATGCCTCCATCCACTCAGATCTGCTGTCAGCAGAGCACAGGGCAGCACTGTGCACAGCATTCTGTGATTCAGTATCTCCTCCCTCTGCATGCAGACACTGAACGTTCCTCATAGAGATTAATTGATTCAATTCATCTCTATGAGGAGATGCTGATTGGCCAGGGCTGGGTTTGAATCATGCTGGCTCTGCCCCTGATCTGCCTCTTTGTCAGTCTCAGCCAATCCTATGGGGAAGCACTGTGATTGGATCAGGCTACCACATGTCAGCAGACTGCTTGTTTTTTTGAGTCTAACAGCATGCAGATTTACAGCTTCAGGCTTGAATACAGTAAGATTTTTACAATATTGATGGAGGCATGAGGGACCCAGGGGGGTTAGATGGTGGTGTTAACACTATAGGGTTTAGGAATACATTTAGGAATTGATTTTAAAAAAGGGAGAAAATTAACAGAAAACATAAATACTCACTGGACTAGCAAAGTACCAGACTTTCTGTCCTAATAGCTTTTTGTAAGGAAAATGAAAATTCACAAAAAATTTGATTTGACTCTAAAATGGATTACCAAGTTCTTTAGGTTTAATCAGGAATTATATATATATATATATATATATATATATATATATATATATATATATTTTTTTTTTTTTCCTACTTATCTAAGCCAGCCCTCTGAGGAGTATCTGGTTGTTGCAGAAATCCCAGTTTTATGAGGGGCAATTAATGTATTACCAAACCTGCCTGAAAACGCACAATAGAAAACATTTATGGAAAACAGGAGGACAGAAAAGTGAATATATTGCAGTATTTTAATATTATCAGTAAAATAATGCACTTATAGATTGTAAGAGATTGTAATAAGCTCCGAATATTTACGCATGGGCAGTACAATCTCCGCCTGTGGAAATGTTTGTTCTCCTAGTTTTTTGGTGAAGGACTTTTAGGGCCAGGATGTGGTTCCTGTTTTCAAACAGTAGGTGGTTTTCGCTTGGGTGCAGAGTAATGTAGTAGCAAGAATTTACCGGTATGGAATGAAAATAAAACAGAATATAGTGTTCTCTGTTTTAAAATTAATTTAAAAAAAATAGTAATAAAAGAATATATACTCACAGATGCATAGCAAAATAGGTTTGGTTCAATCCATATAGCATGGGTAGTATATTACCCACCAAGAAATTCACTGTGAGAATCCTTCAGATAAAATCTTCAAGGTAAAATCAGGAAGGTCTGAGTATGCTGAAAACCTAATTTGATTGAATATAAACATTAAAACCATACACAGGGTAAAAAACTAATGCATTTCATCAAGGGTAGTGGCGTACATACCAGGGTCGCAGGGGTCGCGGCTGCGACCAGGCCCGGCCCACCAGGGGGCCCGGCCGCCCCTGCGACCTGGTATGTACCCACAGGGCCAACCTCTTCTCCTTGGCGGCCCAGGAGGCGGCCACCTCAGGGCCCCTCCGAGGCTGGCCCGGCTGGCCCTGCTGGACTGTCTGGGTGGCCGGCGCGCGAGGGAGCACTCTCCCCTCTGTGCTTCCTCTTCAGCTCCCTCGCGCACCGCACTGATACCGGAGCTGGAAGATGACTTCCCTCGCGCGCCGGCCACCCAGACAGCCCACCCGCCCAGCAGCACCACTGGACCCCAGGGAATCCCCCCAGCACTCCAAAAGGTAAGGAGGCTGGGGGGATTAAATTTAAAAAAAATGTGTGTTTGTTAGTGTGTGTGTGTTAGTGTGTGTTTGTGTGTGTGTTTGTGTGTTAGTGTGTGTGTTAGTGTTTGTGTGTTTGTGTTAGTGTTTGTGTTAGTGTGTGTGTGTTAGTGAAAGTGTATGTTTTGTAAGTGAGTGTGTATGTATGTCTGTCGCTGAGTGTGTCTCTGTCAGTAAATGTGTGTGTCTGTTAGCTAGTGTGTATGCGTCTGTTCGTGAAAGTGTGTGTTTGTGTCTTCAGCATTTACCTTTCTCCAGCGTTGGGGATCCCTCCGCCTCTCAGCTCCGAATGCACATGCACAGCAAGAGGCGCGCGTGCATTTAAACTGCCCATAGGAAAGCATTACTCAATTACTCAATACTTTCCTATGGACGTTCCTATGCTCCTCTAGCAGCTGTCACCAGAGGCTGTATTAACCCTCAATGAAACATAGCCGTTTCTCTGAAACTGCTATGTTTTCAGCTGCAGGGTTAAAACTAGAGGGACCTGGCACCCAGACCACTTCATTGAGCTGATGTGATCTGGGTGTCTGTAGTGGTCCTTTAAGTGTGTGTGCATACCGCGGTCGAGGGGTCGCAGCCCTGCAACCCCTGCGACCAGGTGCCCGCCACCATGTGTTGCGGCCCCGACCCGCGCCGAGTAAGCGCGGGGGGGCCACAGATCAATTTTCCATGGGTACTCCACTGATCAAGGGTTTATTAAAAACACTTCGATAGGTTGATGGTGGTGGTATTATTAGTGTTAGTAGTATTGGTGGTAATAATGGTGATATTGACAATGTGTGAACTACTTGTGCCAGTTGTAGCAGGTGCAGCTAATGTTTCAGATTCTACAGCATGTGGAAAAGACAATTATCATCACTTTTACAAACTTTTTATTTGTACAGGGAGTGCAGAATTATTAGGCAAATGAGTATTTTGACCACATCATCCTCTTTATGCATGTTGTCTTACTCCAAGCTGTATAGGCTCGAAAACCTACTACCAATTAAGCATATTAGGTGATGTGCATCTCTGTAATGAGAAGGGGTGTGGTCTAATGACATCAACACCCTATATCAGGTGTGCATAATTATTAGGCAACTTCCTTTCCTTTGGCAAAATGGGTCAAAAGAAGGACTTGACAGGCTCAGAAAAGTCAAAAATAGTGAGATATCTTGCAGAGGGATGCAGCACTCTTAAAATTGCAAAGCTTCTGAAGCGTGATCATCGAACAATCAAGCGTTTCATTCAAAATAGTCAACAGGGTCGCAAGAAGCGTGTGGAAAAACCAAGGCGCAAAATAACTGCCCATGAACTGAGAAAAGTCAAGCGTGCAGCTGCCACGATGCCACTTGCCACCAGTTTGGCCATATTTCAGAGCTGCAACATCACTGGAGTGCCCAAAAGCACAAGGTGTGCAATACTCAGAGACATGGCCAAGGTAAGAAAGGCTGAAAGACGACCACCACTGAACAAGACACACAAGCTGAAACGTCAAGACTGGGCCAAGAAATATCTCAAGACTGATTTTTCTAAGGTTTTATGGACTGATGAAATGAGAGTGAGTCTTGATGGGCCAGATGGATGGGCCCGTGGCTGGATTGGTAAAGGGCAGAGAGCTCCAGTCCGACTCAGACGCCAGCAAGGTGGAGGTGGAGTACTGGTTTGGGCTGGTATCATCAAAGATGAGCTTGTGGGGCCTTTTCGGGTTGAGGATGGAGTCAAGCTCAACTCCCAGTCCTACTGCCAGTTCCTGGAAGACACCTTCTTCAAGCAGTGGTACAGGAAGAAGTCTGCATCCTTCAAGAAAAACATGATTTTCATGCAGGACAATGCTCCATCACACGCGTCCAAGTACTCCACAGCGTGGCTGGCAAGAAAGGGTATAAAAGAAGAAAATCTAATGACATGGCCTCCTTGTTCACCTGATCTGAACCCCATTGAGAACCTGTGGTCCATCATCAAATGTGAGATTTACAAGGAGGGAAAACAGTACACCTCTCTGAACAGTGTCTGGGAGGCTGTGGTTGCTGCTGCACGCAATGTTGATGGTGAACAGATCAAAACACTGACAGAATCCATGGATGGCAGGCTTTTGAGTGTCCTTGCAAAGAAAGGTGGCTATATTGGTCACTGATTTGTTTTTGTTTTGTTTTTGAATGTCAGAAATGTATATTTGTGAATGTTGAGATGTTATATTGGTTTCACTG